GGCAAGCGACGGCTAGTGACAACGACCTTGGACAATAGTTGACAGAGATTGCGAGCAACAACGTCAAAAACAATGATGGGCTTTACAACTACGAGTGAGGCAAGAAGGTAATGCGCGATCGAGTTAGAAAGAAGGGGATTAAACACAAAAGCCCTAATCTTGTGAGTTCATATGCCTACGACTTGGTTTAAAAAAAACATTCCATCGAACTCACTCACACACTTCTAAACACGCAATTTGATACAAGTTTACCAATTTTGCTACCGAGTTTACTGATTCCACACAAAAAACGAGTTTGCTTTCGAGTTGACTCAGAAGCGATAAGTGAGCATGTAAACTAGTCTGAGTTAACAAGTTAACCCGTGAGTTTGATAACCATGCTCACAACCTCATGACAGTAATGTACATGCTCTTGTGACAACTCGCGATGACAAGTTGACCATTCACTAGTGCTTTCTTCATAACAGGATTTGGGTCCGCCTACTGAAAATGATTCACCTATTCTATGAGAAAACATATTTGACTCAACCCACCCCCCACTATATTAACCTTAGTTATCATTGCCCTTCTCCTTCATATTATGTTTGCCTTTATCCTTTGTCTTATGTTTTTATTCTTGATTCCTAACTCTATAAGTGAAGCATCGTCTCACCCAAATGGATTATTGACCGTCATTGGCTTTACCAACACCACTCCACACCCCCCACCTCTCCCTTTGAAGTTGACCCAGATTGGACTAAAAATGGATAGAAGACTTGTGAGGTGCAAAGCATACCATTAAATTGCAAAATTACTTAGATACTTTCTCGTCGTTGATCCAAATAAATTTTGTCTAACTATTATTCTCTCTGGTTGTTTGTAGGAACTTGAGTATTTTAGGATGCCCAAGTCCCATATCGAGTAGTCCAAGATGCATAATGGACTATTTATGGGTATGGTTCTCCCTTTAGCTTTTGAGGGAGGATTCCCAGAATGCTTGGATTTTTATCAATTGGTATAAGTATAAGAGTTGGTTGTCAATGTCTCAAAAGGGCCACATACAAAGTGTTATGACTAGTTAAGGATTCTAATTAAGAGGGTATTGAATGAAGTGTCATAGAGTGAAAGACGTCCAAATGTCAACAAAGGGCAGTGCTATAACGGGAACATGGGTATTATAGAGTGGTCAAATCCAAAATTGAGTAGTAAGAGATCCTCATTAGAGTATTTAAGTGTTTGGTTCTATTGAGAGTGGGTTCCCAAATGGTTAGGACTTATCACTTGTCATTTATCATTGGCAGCTATTCTGATTTAATATTAAGAACTCTTTTGGATAGGCCACTTTTGGATTGTGGTACAAAATTCAATTTGATTCATAGTGAACTTGACCACTTTGTCTTCCATCCCCATTCACCTAAAGGAAACTTTATCTCATTGTTTGTGGATGATATTGAAATTACAACAATGACCAGAACGAATTATAAGCATCGAGTAGTACCCTCTCCTACTACTTCCAAAGTAAAACTTGGAACTTTCGATACTTGTTTGTGTATAGAAGTTGCACAATCCAAGAATGTCTCAATAATCTTAAAGAGGAAGCCTGCTCTTGATGTCAAAGAAACTAGCTATCAAGTGTGAAATCACTGGAGATTCTCATGGATTCTAAGTTCAAATTACTAACTATTGGAAGTCTCATATAAACTAGAGATAAGATCAATTTATAATATAAAGTGGATGCAAACCTCACCTTACAAGCCGGTTTTGTAGGGTTGAGTTAGGCTTAAAATCTACTTTTTAACATGGTATCAGAACTATGGTTAAAGCATATCCTAGCGATATTTATTATTTGTTAAGCGTATTGTTCCACCCGCTATCAGGCCACCCATTAATGTCTACTCTCACGTTCGAGATGTATATACCTTGGCGTGAGGAGGTGTGTTGGAAGTCTCACATCGACTAGAGTTAAGACCAATTTATAATATATAAGTGATGCAAATCTCACCTTATGAGCTAGTTTTGTGAGGTTGAGTTAGGCTTAAAGTCCACTTCTTAACATGTTAGAATCTTTTTAGCTGTATTATTTCTATTAAAGTCTTTGCTTTTATTAATTATATTTCTTCCTTATTTAGGAGATTATAATTATCAGGTATGATTAGGATATCCCTGAAATATAAGGATACTTTCTTTAGGAGCTATTATACTTCCCAAAATAGCTTTCTAGCATTGTATATATGGATTTGTAATCTCAGCATAATAATATATACGTTTTACCCTAAATTATGAGATAGCATCAGAGCTCTCAACATTTGGGAGCCGCCTCTAACTGTGCACTAAAACCCTAGCTGGCAGCCTTCATTGCTGCCACTCTCCCTTTCAAAAACAACCTTCATTGTTGTTGCCAACACAACTCTACACCATAGCCTTCATTGCTACAGTTTTCTTTATTTTGTAGTGTTTTTCCTTTCAAATCTCTTCTCAGTGCATTACCATCGTTCTGTTGCTTGAACATGGCAGACCACACTACTGAAGTGGTGCCTATTGCATCACAAACCAATCAGGAACAACTCCAGAACCTCAACACTGCCTACCACTTAAATGGGACAAATTATCTGAAATGGGCCCAACTTGTTCGCAAAACTTTAAAAGGTAAAGGGAAAGTTTATCTCTTTTGGACTTAATACCTCAGATAAACACCCTAACCCATATTGGATACTAGATTCTGGGGCTATAGACCATATGACACCCTTATCTAACATTTTCTCCTCTTACACCCCTAGCCCTAGCAACAAGAAAATATCCATAGCTAATGGCTCTCTGATGACTGCAGCAGGTCAAGGACCCTTAAAAATGTCCTTCATATTCCTAAATTATTTGTTAGCTTAGTCTCCATTAAAAAACTCATACACGATCTCTCATGCAATGTTATTATTTCTAACAATGATTGCATCATACAAAACCAACAATCTGTGAGGACGATTGAACATGCTAGAAGTAAACTTGATCCTAGAGCCTAAAAATGTGTTTTCATAGGTTACTCATCTACACAAAAGGGATATAAATGCTATCACCCACCATCCAAAAAATTGTCTTGTGATGTCACCTTTTTTGAGCACAAAAGTTACTTCTATAAAGATCATCTTCAGGAGGAGACTACAACAAATGAAGATGATATCCTTATGCTTCCTGACTTAAGCTTAGGACCAGAAATAAGGACTAAAAGTGTAACAGCTGAGAAGGAACTCACTAAATTCACTCAAGATAGGGCTAATGTAAGATTTGGTAAAAATCTGGTTTATACAAGGAAGACAAAGACCATTCCAAAGTCTATCCATGTTCAACCATCCAACCCAACATTACATGAGGTAACTATCCCTAATCCTTTAATCTCCAATGCATCAATTTGACGTTAAAAATTGCTTCCTTCATGGAGAAATTGAGATTTACATGGAATTGCCCCCTGGATATGAGGGAAAAACAGCTGCCAACACTGTTTGCAAGCTAAAAAAGGCATTGTATGGGTTCAAACATTCACCAAGAGCGTGGTTTGGAAGGTTTACTAAAGTTATGATAGGTCTGGGCTTTAAACAAAGTCAAGGAGACCACACTTGGTTCATTAAACACTCTAAATCAGGGAGAGTTACAGTGCTATTGGTTTATGTAGATGATATTATAGTAACAGGTGATGATGAGAAGCAACAACAACTCTTAGGCCAACATCTAGCCAAGGAATTTGAAATCAAGACCTCGGAAAAATTGAAGTATTTCTTAGGGATTGAAGTGGCCCATTCTAAAAAGAGAATATTTATATCTCAGCAAAAATACATCACAAATTTGTTGAAAGAAACAGGGAAGACAGCATGCAAGCCTTCGAGTACACCAATTGATCCAAACATGAAGTTGGGGAATGTAGAAGGTACTGCAGTTGACAAGGAAATGTATCAGAGGTTAGTTGGTAGACTGATTTATTTATCTCACACTAGGCCTAATGTTGCATTTGTTGTAAGCCTTGTTAGCTAGTTCATGCACCAACCTAAGGAGGTTCACTTACAAGCCGCACTAAGAATTGTGCAATATTTGAAGGGAATCCCATGCAGGGGAATTTTGTTTGAACGAAATAGGAATGTAAGTGTGGAAGTATATACTTATGCAGACTATGCAGGGTCAATTGTGAACAGGAGGTCAACTACGGGGTATTGTACTTTCCTTGGCGGAAATCTTGTGACTTGGAAGAGTAAAAAACAAAATGTGATAACCAGATCCTCTGCTGAAGCAGAATTCAAGGCAATGGCACAAGGGATATGTGAACTACTATGGTTAAAGATCATCTTGGAAGACTTAAGAATAAAGTCAGATGAATCAATGAGACTTTATTGTGATAAGAAATCTGATATTAACATAGCTCATAATCTAGTGCAGCATGATAGAACCAAACACACGACATATGTAAGAGAGAACCCAAGACAGGGATTGTTGTATGGGGACAAGGGAAGCACTCAAGTTGAAGGATATTGTGATGCAGACTCGGTTGGTTGTCCAATTGACAGAAGATCTACCATAGGATAGTGTTTTACTTAGAGGAAACCTTATATCTTGGAAATGTAAGAAACAAAGTGTTGTTGCTCAATCTAGTGTTGAAGCTGAGTATCGGTCTATGGCTCTAACTACATGCGAACTTGTGTGGATTAGACAACTCCTTTAAGAGTTGAAATTTTGTGAAAATGAGTAGATGAAGTTGTATTGTAACAATCAAGCCGCCCTTCACATTGCCTCCAATCCAGTGTTTCATGAAAGAACAAAACACATAGAGATTGATAATCATTTTATTAGAGAGAAGTTGTTGTCAAAGGATCTTATTACTGTGTTTGTCAACTCTAATGAAAAACTCGCAGACATTCTGACCAAATCTCTAAGGGGGCTTACGATTCAATTTATATGTTCCAAGCTTGGTGCATATGATCTATATGCTCCATCTTGAGGGGGATCTTATTACTGTGTTTATTATTAATATTTATGTAAGGGGTTTTACTTTTAGGGTTTTGTTAGGGGCTTCCCACCCTTTTACTTTTCAGAACTACTGTCTCCTATAAATGCAATAGTAAGTTGTATCAGATTTACTAAGTGAAATAAGGCTTTTTAGCTTCTCTCAACTCTCTCTAATCTTGTCTTTCATGAGAGGACCAAACATATTGAGGTGATTGTCATTTCATGTGAGAAAAATTGGAGCCAAGAGACATCACTAGATTGTTTTCGACTCTAGTGAATAGTTGGTTAACATATTCACCAAGTCCTTTAACAATCCTTTAAGAAGACCAAGGATTGTTTATATTTGCAAGATGTTGGGCACATATGCGACCTAAATGCTTCAGCTTTTAGGGGGTGTTATAATGCAAATCTCACAAAAAGTATCTAGATTATATATTTATTATTAAGAACGTTTTATTTATTCCCATATATATGATAAGAGGATACGAAATCTCTATTTATTGTGTTGATTCCATTTTTTTCAATATAAATTAAGCATCTATGTTGTCTAAAAAACATGAGGTTTCAGCTCAATGTCTCCCTCCTTCCTATAGCTTAACCAAAAGAAAATAATGAAAGATAGCAACTACTCCCAAGAGGTAATCAAATAATTATAAAATATTCTAACATGCAATAATGTTGAGATATTTTATAGATTTTCTAACAGCTTTATCATTAGGAACATGGTCCCAACCATAGCCATTAGTTCAAAAGATTTAAACATGCAAAGGCAGTGTTTGACACGTGCGTAGAATAGGATAAAATATGACATATGGATTGTCTTTAGTGCGTTTTGATATAAGCATAACAAGAAATGAGGTCCAAATTCAGTTCCACAAAAGAAGAAGGCATTTTAAATATAAATCAGAACAACATAAGATCCAAGCGTGGATGACATTTTGGTTTCGCTAGGGGCTGGAACAAACAAGAATAGAGCAGAATGTTCACATCTGATTCTATTTGCACAATAAATTCTGCCTGAATGCTCTGTAATTCATAGCAATCATCAACATTTCATCTCATTTTAAAATGATGCAGGCATGTAATTTACAAAACCAAAACATAATTTACTTATATATCAGAAGGTAATTGTAAATGATACCTTGCAAGGCACTCATAGCAGTTGCTGCACAAGCTGGATTTGCAAAGTCCACAAAACAAAGGATTAAAGGGTCTCCACCCCGCTGCATTGAACAGACATTTCACCACAAAGAGGATGCAAATTTTTACCAATAAACTAAATAACCAAAAGATGACAAGCAAGCATCTGTTGCAAACAGTGCACTTACATGTTTGGATTCTTTGCTCACAAGTCTCACTTCTCTATACCCAACAAAGGGGCGGAAGATATCTAAGGTGATGTCAAGGAATTTGAATAAAAGAACTAAAATCAATGTAACTCTGGAAATAAATGAAAAGCAAGAAGATGAAAATCCCAAGCATTGCATTAGAATAAAAGGGATACGAGCCACTTCTCTTCTTGTACTATCAGAAGGGAGACCTTCAACATACAAAGTGCTAGAAGCATCTGGAGGTAGAGGTACCGTCTCAGGTCCAGGCCTGGAAACAGCATCTACAGGTAGCTGACCACCATAATTAACACCCCGTCCATTTGGTGCTAGATCTGGACCACCACCCCCATGACGCCCCAAAACAGCAGGATCAGCTAGTGAATGGCCAGGTAATCCCCCACCACCACCCCTAGCCAACCCAATACCACCAACTGTACTGGCTTCCCCAGAGGCAAATGAAGAAAGCTGCTGTATAAACAAACAGGATGCATGAGTCTCATAAGCAAACAGTGAAACACCCTCCCACACAGCGTATTGAAAAGAGCCAAATAAACCACACTGAAATATTTACGAAAACACAGCAGATGAGTGTTACCCCACTCCTGAAGCGGTGCGGTCTAAGCAGTTTCCATTGTTTTTTGTGTCCCTTTATCATCGTGACAGTTGCCATTAGTACTATCTCATCACGAGGCATATAATTATAATCTCATTACCTGAATACAGACCAAACCTGGCATATCGAAATGAAAAAAATACATAATAACATTAAAAATTAAGTGATACATCAATTCTATAGCAAGACACTAAGGCCGTAACCACCATATTGAAAATCCCCATCATATATGACTCCTCTTCATACAATGGCACTGCAATAGACACTAAATAGAAGAATGTTCCATTTTTTGGTGCGCTTTATGAAACCAATCATGGTTTTGCGACACACAGCCAGAAGATATCATCATTACTTGCCACTCATGCACCAGCAGAATATCAAGTCCAACATATTAAAAGGAACTAATAAAGCAAAATGGCATTAGACAGAAAGATGGTTAAAAAGAACTGACAAAAGAAAACGACAATGGTACCCACAACACAGCTTTCATGACTACACTTTCTGGCCGCATAAGCCTAACTTTGTCATAAAAATACAAGTAACTACTCCCCTACAATCAGATCTAACCAACGGAAAGAAAAATAGTAACAGCAATCAATTTACTTAAGGACATTAGAAGAAAACAATTTGGAAAAAGATCACACCTGTAACCAGGATTGGACCCACAGTCATGCAATATCTCTATCAGAAGATTCAAATAAACACATACACTTCTTCCCTTCCATGAAGAGACCGTGTTTCTTGCTAGGTAATACTACATGAGGCTCCCTGCACGTTTACCCACCAGGGTGATCAAGATACAAAACTCACAAAGCCATGGTGCCCAAAATTAGCAACATGGAAAAACCAGAAAAAGCTGCAATGACATTCAGAGGAGAGGACAGATTTGTGGTTTCAAAGTTGAATTCAAAATCGGCTGGCCCATACAAAAAACCAGTAGCAAATGGACATGCAATCGTGCCTCTATAATGTTGGGTTTCTATTTTTTTAAATGACGAAATATGTATTGACAAATTTTGATCATAAATAAGTGTAAAAAATGGAAGGATTGGAAGACAAAATTATCGAGTTTACAATTAGCTATGTAGGGAAATGCAGAAAGGTGAATGTGTATTCGTGGTGTGGTGATACCGCTCTCTCAAAGAGCCATGCCGGGCAATGCAAGGGAAACTCTTCAACGGTTGTATACCATTCTAACTGACAGCGGGGAGAAAACTGAATGGGAGAAAATAAAATAAATCCAGGTGGCTTATTTATATCTACAATCCGATAAATTCTCACCTTGCAACTAAATTTGTAATTACTAACTATTTATTTAATATATAACTTTCCTTTTATTCGACAATTGAGATTTTGTCAAATGAGAGTATCATGCAACCTTACAATCACTCCTGATTAAGGTCAACAAACATAAATTTTATTGTGCAATTTATTAATGAACAAAAGTATTATCCACCCCTCCCCCCAAAACCAATCCAAAACTTTGTAGCAAAGGAAACAGACACAAAAATAAAAAGAGAGGCGTCAACTTATTTGGGCTCTCCGATATCTTAAACAAAAAGGAAATCCAAATAAACAGTATCCCAGACCTAAATTGAATTCTCACCCCAAGTATAAACCCTATGCAATGCCTAAAGAAGTCCCAAAGCGTTTGTTTCTACAGTAACAAAACCTTACCACATCCTACCCTAGAAGACTAGATCAAGTGTCTTCCCCAAACCAACCCGATCCGAACACAAGTTTAAAAACGAACCAAGTTCAAACGCACAGAACCCCTACAGAAGGACCATAACCTCAACAACCAATTTCAAAGCAAGCCTCATAATCGAAAAAGTTGCAACCGTTTAACAACGCGTAAGAAGAGTGGCACTTAGCGCCCCAACTAAAGTGACACCAACACCAAATAATGTACAACTAACAGAAATTGCAACTTTCACAACACTTCAGAGAGTGGGCAATTGCCAAGAGAACCAAAAGACGAAGAAATCGCGACAAAGAAAAAACCATATTCCGAACACGGTGACTTGAGCAGGCCGAGGTGGGGAGAACGCCTGTTTCCGATTCAATAGCCGTCCCCTTCTGGCCGAAGATCCCTAGTTTTTTGAAGATGGTATTTGGGGAATGGCGGAAACCCTAATCGTAGGTGTAGTTTGCGTGTTGCTGCTGTTGTTGTAGAAAACTGAGTCAGTTTGATCTGTGTGATGATGGGACTAACTAAAGACTGAGGAACTTCACTGCACTAAGTTGGGCAAATGGAAAATAAGTGTTTTTCTAATTATATCCGTGCGTTTTGTTTTAATTGGAAATGACGCAAGGTTTAATCGTCTTAATTTAATAAAAAAAAATTATAAATATTTTATTGCGAACCAGTATTAAAAATAATTTAAATTTATATAAAAATAATTAAAATTCATTATAAGTATTTTATAGCGTAAAATTGAATAGTAAATTGTTGTTAATTTTTATATTTAACTTATTTACATATTTTGAAAAATAAAATTTGTGTAATATATTTAAATTATTTATATATATTTTTAGTAAAATATTTACTATATAATTGTTTCAGAAACTGTGAGGGCCTGTAAATTTAACCAAGTGCCTTTGGGCCGTATGTTGGGAGCCAGGTCCTCTGAGTAGGCCAACTTGACCTGAGTGAGGTGCTTTCAGAACCCTTCTCTTCCCTGAACGTCAATTCTTTTCTCTCTCTAAACCTCTTGTGCCCTATAGCTCTCTCCTCTGCCTCGCTCTAAATTCAGCTCTTTTGAACCTTTCATCTTGAGTTGAGGGTGCTCAGACGTTCTCCCACTCACCGGAGGCTTTCCTTTTGAACCGTCGCATTTTCGATTGACCGGGTGATTAACTTTTCCTTCTCTGTCTTCAAAATTCTCAAACCTAGAACATGCAATGCTAACTGGTTGATGTTACTAGGGGGGTTTTTGTTTATAATTTTTGTTTTTAAATCAAGCTCTAAGAGCTGTATTATACTGTCCCACCTTGGTGGTTTAGTAGGGTTTTTGATTTCTCATTTGGGAAACTCCCGTAAAGGAGCGGTCCTTGTGGCTGTGGTAGTTCGACTCTGAGTAAGGGGAGCTAGCTATTTATTCTTCTGTGTTTTGTTTGAAGACGTATGATTGGTGTTTGCAATAATTCGATTTTCCTTGTTGTCTACTGTTGAATTGTATTTTTATTGGGAACGTGTGATTGGAACTGTTAGCATGTTAAAGCTGGTGTATACGATGTACGGAACGGTTTGACTTGGATTAACATGTGTTGGTTGTCTGTTTCTGATTGGAGTACGAACTCTGGGAAATAGTTGAATGATAGTAGTGTCTACCGAACTGTTTAGTTTAGGTGAGTGGAAGGGGAGTACCAACAGTGGGCAATTGGGTCTAGAGTACCATCAAGGGTTGTTTTGGATTACTTAGATAAGTAACTTGTGACTTGTTGAAGCACTTTGTTGTATTGATAGAAGAATCTTCTAAAACCTGAGTTTGGCACATCCCTGATCATCGAGCATCCTGTGCCTGGTCCAATCGTTTGTTACATCCATATGTGTTGCCGTCGAAGTGAGACAGGAGCTTTATCAGCGTATCAGACATTCAGTGCCCTGTAATCTCTCTCCGATGAACAAGTGGGTGGGATATTTGGTTTAGGGGGCAATCAGTGTTGTCATGTAGATGATACAGGGTTACAGAGATAATTTGTTTTGGTCCTTTGAGAGGAACTAAGTTGGGAGTCTTAAGCAAGGTGGTCTGAGTGGCAATGGGACCGTGGTGGTGGTCCTTGTCATAGCAATAGAACAGGTTGAGGGTCCTAAACGAGTAAGTCATGTTTCCAAAATGGTAAATCAAATTGGGTCTTGGGTACTTAGATTGACGGTTAAAGTTGAAATGTGTGATAAATCACTCTAGAATCATTAGAAGGGTTATAATCATCTAGCAAGGTTAATTAGGTGTAAGACAGCACTATGAGGGTTAGAAGTGGAGAAAATAAATTAAAATGTAAAGGATTACGTGGGGAGGTGTGATCTGCCGACTTCCACGTTCGCAATTATACATTCGCTAGTGGTGTCGCGCATAGCGATACCCTAAAAGGGTGTCCCACTGTCTTGGGAAATTCGCTGTGGCGAGTGGGTGGTGCGCTTTTCGTAATTTCCAGGGTGCATGCTCAGCTGTTGTCGGACTTCGCCATGCGAATCCTGTCCTACGCGACTGGTGGTGGTCTGGGATCACTGCCCATTAATAATTTGCGAGAGCGAGTGGGGTGCATAGCGAAGTTTGGGGGCTTGATTGTAGCGCACTATTTCACCTGCGAATAGGAGCGCTATGCTCATTGTAATTTCCTTTTGATCAGGAAACCTTCGCTTTCACCTCCAGCGCATACACAGGATGCGCTGCACTTCGCATATTATGCGAACACACTCCCCGTCGTCATGGAAATTCGCGGTCGGGCCTTCAGCGCACCAAGGGTGGGTGCGCCTATGCGCATTTTTGTTTCATGCCTTGCATTTTGGGTTGCGCTTGGTGAGACTGTTCTTAGTTTCATATTTTTTCCACATCTGTTTTGAGCTGTTTGATTTTGTTTGACTGCCAGATGTATTAGGTTCCTCTATTTTGTTCGGTGGCTTAAAATGATGAGAATTGAGTAATAACGTGGACCTCTTCAGGTGAGAATGAAGTGAAAGTGATTGCTGTGGGTTGTTGCTTGTGTTTGTGCTTGATAATCATTCCGTCTCACACATAGCAATCGAAATAGCTCAAGGTCAGATCTGTGAAGGAAAACTGCGTATAGTTAATCATGACACACAACACCCCACACACACTTTCAATCATTCTCCCCCTGGCGGTCCCTAGTCATACTCAATCTCCATCATTTTAAACGCCACATAATTCACAATATATAACATACATACAGTCATCCTGGCGTCAATACCCATACGCGTCAAACAGCT